CAGCATGTTATTTAACTGACTAAGGTAGAAACTGTACAAAATCAACATGAATGTAATAATTTAATCAGGTTGTTGGGAGCAGTGATGGTTATAAAGTCCTCCAGCTGCTGGGAGGAAGGATCTGTGATAATCCTCCCTGGTGCATTTAGGGTGCAGCAGTCTGTCACTGAAGGAGCTCTCCAGTTCAGCACCAGCAGCACGTGTGGGGTGGGAAACATTATCCAACAGAGATGTTACTTTAGTTAGGATCCTTTTTTTCCTCACATCCTGCACTGAGTCCAGAGGACATCCAATCACAGAGCTGGTCTTCCTGATCAGCTTCTCCAGCCGCTTTCTCTCAGCTACAGATAATCTACTGCTCCAACAGAGCTCCATAGAAGATGGCTGATGCCACAACAGAGTCATAGAAGGTCTTTAGGAGCGCTCCTTGCACTTCAAAAGACCCCAGTCTGCAAAATATAAGTAAATATAAGAAAGAAAAAGACTTAGTTTTGGTCATAAATGGATTAAACTGTACTTTACTCAAAATAGGTAAACATAACACTTGTAGGTGTGAATACTGTGAGCAACAAGAGACAATTGAACTTGTTATGGTAGACTGTATAGTATGAAAGAAATAGGAGGGAAATGCTTCAAAATCTTAAAAAGGAAAGAATATGCTTTAATTTAACAGAAATCCTTAGAAGGAACTCAAGTGATAAGTGTTATGTAATTGTTTTTCATTATCTTATATTAATTAAGGTTTTTTTCATTTTATTTTGTGGATTTTGTTAAGTATAAGTAGCAGCCGTTCAGATCCACACTCCCTACCAGTTGGTGGCGGTAATGGGACATTTCGTTAAGTGGCAACCGCCGAAAAAAAGTCCCATACAGACGAAGAAGAAGAACTTCCTTCGAAGGCCTAGGATATACGTACGTTACGTTTTTATATTTTATGCATAAAAAAACATTTCGTTGATTTTTTTTTTTTTTTTGTTGTTGTTGGTTTTATTTTTATCTTCCTGAACGCACAAAAAACATTTCATTGATTTTTAACGTCGGTTTCCTGTTCATCTCCCTCAATGGTGTTCATTGAACTTAATGCAGGAGGCTAACGTTAGCTGCTAGCCTGAAAGTGAAACTAGGAAAATCTCCTGCATTTATACAAAATTAGCTCCTATTTTACGTCCTCTTACGGTAGTGGGTTTGATTACGCGTCATATATCTTTTGGATAAACCTGCCAAAGGCTGATTTGCTCATTTTTTTTCTTCTTTTAGCTTCTAAGCTGACATGCTAGATCAGCAATCATAGACTGCTCTTATGTTATTTACTTCAGTTTTATATATTTGAAACATTTCAGCCAATTGTTCAGTAGGAGAAATTGCTTTGGTCAGCCAAAACTGCTTTTAATAACACACAGAATGCTAAAATGTTCATTACAAGTATGAAAATGTCTGTTATAAGTGTGAAAGAAAATGTGTCTTAGTGCTAACTGAATACTGATGCAAATACATAGAAGGTAGGGGCAGTTTATAGCCTTTTGGGCCTTACTTTGGTGATTATTCAGACTTATACCTTATTCAGACCTTAAGCAGGTGTGTTAAAGTAAACTTACTCCAATCCCATCTAGATTAACTAAACCGCAACAATGTGAATAACACAAAAACATTATTTCATCTGGTTGGTGGGACTTTTTAATTCAATGATGTATGGGATACAATCAAGATGATACCATGATTGCATCGTATTAATACAAGAAGTGGAACATCTGAGTGAAATTATCCTGATTTCTGAGCTTTTTCAGAAACTTTTTTAATTTTTTTAACTGGAGGTTTACTATTAGTCCCCCATCAGAGCAGCTTCAGTGTAGGGCAGAAACAATTAATCGGATTAATCCTGATTATTGAAATGATCGTCAACTAATTTAGTAATCAATTAAACATTAACTGGAGTATAGAGACTTTAAAACATTCCTTAAGCTGACAGAGCGACTCACTCAAAACAGTTAAAAATAACTAAATTGTACAAAAAAATTGTTAAACATTTTGCTTTAACTTTAAAACAATGTTTTCTTCTGTTAATATGCTCTATCCAGAAGTCCTCAAGTGGTAGAGTTTTAGTTTCCCCTGGTTTTAATTCTGTGAAAAATCTTCTTTGAGGATCCTTTGGCTATCCGATTATTAGTTGTTTAATTGAAAAAAGAATCAACTGATTTGAAAAATAATTTGTTGCAGCTCTACTTCAGTGCAATATCTACCCTTCTCATTTACACTGTTACAGCAAACAAGAAAAAACAGCCTGATTTTTAGAAATTGATGAATATGAAATTTCACAGAAGTCCATATATTGACTAACCTGCCATGGCATAAAATCTTTTTGTTATATATTGTGTTCAGGCAGCATGGCCATACATGCAGTCTGTGATGCAGTGAGGAATGCACTCTCCGAACCACGATTCCAGCTAATTGTCATAGTGATAAAAATAATATTCAGAGCACAAGCACACTGCTCTAACCACTCTCCCAATACTCCAAATTATCTTCTCTCAATTTGCACTCTGATTTTTGTAATATATTTTTTTATTTAGCTTCTTATATCAAATATTCAAGAAACAAGTGAATGCCCAGGGTGTATGAGGACATTATACATTTAGAATACAGAAAATTAAAAAGGATGGTATCTCAAAAAGAAAGCAAAGGAAAAATGAACTACTCGACTTGTCTGGATAATATTTTGTTTTAACCATTTGATTTTTGAGGTATTTTATTGCATTGTTGTTGTATTGCAAGTTTCTTTTTCCCTCTGAATTACATCAGGTCTTCAATAAAAGCTCATGTCATTGTTTCTCGACCAGCTGATGGGCTGCTGGGTGGAGCGTTTTCTAGGATTCAGGCCAATCCTGAAAGCTAGCTTGTCCTACAGCAGGTTTGCTGTTCCCAGTACGTTACCATGGTGACTAGCTTCGTGGTACTGGAGAGTCAGGGTTGAGGCTGAAGTTGTCTCTCTAGCCTAGTAATCCAGCTTCATGATGCAGGCCTCTGGTCTAAGTGGTTTTCAAACTCAGTCCTTAGGATAACCTGACCTGTGTGCGTGTTTTAGATGCGTCTATAAAAGTGCATTCGGACCGAGTGCAGCTGACCAGGTCAAGATCCGCGATTTTAATCATACCAAACAAGCAAATGCAAAGAATATGATTTAATGTGGGAACTACTTTCAGTGACAAATCGTGTTTGGTGAGAAAAAAAATCCTCTGCTTTATGTAAATAATATCTTAAAGAAGCAGTATTTGAAATTTCTTGTAATATGGCGTGCATACTTCATTAATTCTTTGAATTAATTAAGTTTTTAATTGTCAATTTTGTTGTTATCATGGTAGTACACATATTCATCAGTACAAAGTACTAGCATGACGTGTCTCTGCTCCAGCACTCCCCCCTCAGCAACCCGCTAAGGCTGCAGGGGCCTGCAGGTGTGTGAAAATCATACAGGATGGTTGGTTCTGAGGACTGAGTTTAAAAACCACTGGTCTAAATGACCAATAATCTACATTGTTAAGCTGTTTGTATGCACTTTGATGATCATTCATTTCAACATTATGTATACTTTTACAGTGATCTGTTCAGTTGGTTTTGTAATATGCTGTCAAAAACTACTGAGGTTGAGAAGTGGAAGATAAATTAGGCTCTTTAAAATAAAACCGAATGTCTATAAACTGTGACATAAAGCTGCCTGTTTTGGGGCTTTTTTTCTCTTGACTCTAAACACCTGGCTTGAATAAATGAGTGATTAACAGACTTAATAAATGGCATTTAATTCTGATGTGATGGAGCACAGATTTTTCTCTAAAGGGAAATGTTGCATTAAGGAGAAGGAGAAAGGTTGGGACGTGAAGAATTAGGCCTTGCACCTTATGTGGATGTGCGTTTCCTTGCTTGGAAATACATTTTCATCCAAACCTTTTCTTTTCTCTATGGTTAACTTGATATTTGACTGGAGGTGCAGTTAATATAATAATGAGGATGTATGCAACGAGTTAAAGAAAAGCATGCCTTAGTCATGCCTGGGTCATGGTTACCACAAAAACAGGCATAAATTGGAGGCAACTGGACTTTCATGCAGTGTTTCTGAGAACATTTTGACTATCCAGGAGACTTTGCTCTTGTTTTCATGCCTCTGCTGGGGTTTGCTTTGCTCTGTTACTTCCTTGTTTACTCCGGTACAAGCCGACAGAAATGACAAAGTCCATCATCAAGTGTAAAAAAAAAAAAAAAGGAATATCAGATGCCAAGAAGGAAGACACACGTAGTGATCTGAGTTAAATAAGAAAGTTGGTGTTCACTGAACCTGGAGCTAAGGTGGAGAACCTGCCAATTTGATGGATATGCAAGTACTGCCAGCAGATGGTTATGGCATACCACAGTGTTTTCTGTCTGCTGATTGTGCTCTTTTGAAGCTTTAAAGAAGTTGGTCCCTTCTGCAAAAGTTGTTCATGTGTAACTTTTTTTGTTTTGATTTTTTTTTTTCTTTTTTAAAAACATTTGTTGGCCTAAACTAAAGTCATAAATTGTTGGTTTCTAAGCAGGACATTCCTGTATATAAATCCTGTAAAGGGCCTTTCTATGTGAGCATCCAGTCCAGAAGTTGTCAACAACTGGCTTTCTTAACTAGTTTTTACGTTTGAATTGTTTGCGGCTGGTTATTTATTTATTTATTTTTAGGTTTTTACGGCACTAGTGACTCATTTTTAGTACAGTGGGCTCACAGGAAGGGGGTGTGAGAGAGGGGGAGAGACGTGTGGCGTAGAACCACAGGTTGGATTCGAATTCGGGTCTGCCATGTTGAGAACTACAGTAATTGCTGATTTATGCTCAGAAACCAGGTCGTCCACGTGTGTGTCGCAGTGAACGCAGATATGCCCCACCCCTCCCGCAGACACTCTGGTGCACCTCTCCAAAAAGGCCTCTGAATGGTCAAATCTAGATCTGCTCTGCACTATGCATATTTCCTGTTTGGTACCTTTATGGGCTTGTTTTGTTTGGATGACCACCATTGTGGAAAACGACTCGTGAAGATGGACCAGCTAGAAGACCGAGGAGCGCGAGAACCCTGGGACCCTTCTTTCCACCTGGATCCCCGCTCCTTTTCGCCCTCGTTGTCCCTCCATTGTCGCACAAACTTGCCCTCTGCGTTTTTCCACTTCCTCACCGCCTTGGTGACCCACGGCTAGTTCGTGATTGTTCCTCTTGCATTGTTGCGTGGAATAACATAGCGCAGACCACTTTTCAATGTTGGGCATAAATCAAAAATATCTGCGACAAGCCCACTGCGACACACTGCTGCAGGAGTATAACCAGCCCTTAAAACCTCCAATGTGTCGTGTGTGCCAACCACTGTGCCACTGAAGCATGCTCGCGGCTGTTTTGTTTCTGTCCACACACGCCCTATTTCTCAACACAATGGATTGACAACACCTTTGAATCAACTGTGTGTTCTGAATGTAACGTACTTGTAATTATCTTGAATGTCTCTTAAACCAGGTTGTTCTTCGCCTTTTTCCCAGACTTTTGTTGAATGTCGACTGAGGAAGTGCAAGAATCTAGAATCTTCTGCATTCCTGTTGCACTACATAAATGACTGAGGTGAGTTTAGAGGATGTGGTTCCAGGCCGACCGACGCTCGTCTCTTCAGCAGTTTTTCTCTTCGGAAAATTCAAGTCATTCATTCAAGTTTGGTGTCTTACAATATGACCACTATATATAATGATTATTTTGTTGGATATTCTGTTTCACATTTTGGTCTTTGTCATTGCGTATTCTTGTGTAAGAAAATATTTTTTTTCTGTTTGGAACTATTTTATCTTTAACCCCTGGTTTCTATCTTCTACCAACTCTGATGTGTCACTCTCTCTGTTTTCTTTTGGTAGTGGACAACTGAACTCTCTTAAACTTCGGAAGACGGTGAAGCTTCTGAGAGGCCTTAAGACTGTCCTGGTGATGGCTTAAATCTTTGGAGGACCAGTTCTACTCCATATTCAGAACACATTTGCGTTCAACATTTTCTTTTCTTTTGCTTTTGGACTTATGTCTCAACTCTCAGAGATGTATGGCTACCCCCAGAGAGATAATTTTTTCCCCCCATGTGTCGTTTAAACTGAACATTTAGGTAGCGCTGATGCAGGTCCACAATGCGATGGTGGTAATACATTAACTATCTTCTGTCCAATTTTTAAGCAACTGACTTAGGCACCACTCTGCTCATCTGTGGGGGGGCGTTAATCTATTGGTATTGGTAAAACCATGTCATTACCACCGTTTAATCCCTATAATTCAAGGAATCAAAATCCTACCCAAGGTCAGCCCACTAGGCCAATCTCTAGTAGATATTCAGAGATGGACAACTGGAGGGCACAGCGACTTATTGATCCTGATCCAGAAAGGCGGCGTTCTCCACCATCTTTGGAAACTTCAGGAAAAAGAGTCCCTCGAATACTAGATATTCCAATGACTTATAGGTCTGAACAGAGAATGGTGATGTCAGAAAGGGACTTTGAAAGATCAGCTGGGTTCCTTGACAGCAGAATTCGAGAGGACACTGTACCTCCGCCTTTAAGCTTTTCATCCACCACCAGAAGTGTGCCATCCTTTGATGATACTGACAGAGATGGAGAATCTGATGATGAAAGTGACAGCAACTCTTTGAGTTGGTTGCAGATTTGTAAGATCCCTTCAGAGGATAATCCTGGGAAATTTCAGCCCTCAGTTTCATCTCACCATCCCAGCACCAGCGATGGTAGGTGTTTTTCTGGCGAGAGACAACACAATAGGGAATCTCTGTCTGTAGCAAGAAGTTATGATAATCCAACTCCAGGCAAACAGAGCAATGAGGTATCTCAACTCCAGTCTACTTCAGAACTTGCTGGTGTTCTCCTACAGCGCTTTGGACTTGAAAAAGAAGACTTGGATTATCTCCTGATGTTACCTGAAGATCAAATAAATTCTGATAATATCGATATGATCTTGAAACAGATCATCCATATGAAGAAGAAAACATCTTCAACACAATCCTGCTCTGACCCCCAACCCTCCACAAGCTTTTTTGGACAGGACGAGCCTAAAGACACAAGAGAGCCAGAGATGTTCCAAGACGATATCTTTACAAGGTTCTTGAAACCTGCCAAAGTGATGGACTATGGACATACTAGGAGTTATACTGTGGTTGGGGAGAAAAATGAAAATGTCATCAGTCATGAGACTAGACGTAAGAACGATACCTCTAGCAGAAGCAGATCTAAAGAAACATCGGGAAAAAATACTACCGAAGTGAAGACCAGCTTGCCAATTCCTTTACTTGAGTCGACAGATTTTTCTTCAAGACTGACATCTACTAGCAGGTCTGGGAGTCTTCAAACCAGAAATCTACCTGGTAGGCCACAGTCTCAACCAATCCAGGCTTCTCAAAACACCCCTAGCTCGTTGATTACCCAAAATAAAAACACAGACCCATCTATGAGGGGACTAAACCAACCAGCGTTGGTCTCTAAAAAAAGTTCTGCCTCCTTTATTCCACCAGAGGCAGACGGGGATGCTCCTAAAGAGCCGACGACCCATGCAGATCCCATTGAGACATTGCAGAGCCAGAACCAGGCACCACAGATTGGTTTCATTCCTTTTATTATTTCAAAGCAAATTGCAGAAGAAAGGAAAAGATCCAATTTGTCTTATAGACACTATCGCAAACCGGGTCCTCCACAAGTGGAAGCTCAAGATTCAGAAAAATCAAAACCACCTAACTCACCACCAGGTGAAGGTGATGGTAAGCAAAGTAGTCCTACTGATGATCCGAGTAAAACCCACAAACATCCTGCCGGGGTAGCTAAAGAGCAGGTAAAGGAAAAACCAGCACCAGAAGAACTAAAGCAAACGTCTCAAGGAAGTAAATTAACAAAAGACTCCAAGAACACCCACATGATGAGGCAAACTAAATCCCAAGGCATTACAAGAGAAGAGGCATTACAGCCATATTCTTCATCCGCGGAACGCAGTGCTTCAAATGCTTTTGTTTCGAAATCACTTGCTCCTCCTCCACGTCGGTCAAACACTGAAGCAGATAAACGCCATAGTTTGGTAAAGTCTGCTTACAGCGAGTTGGATCTAAAGAAGAACAAGGTTTTCAAGGGAGTACCAAGGCAGTCCAAGATCAATGACTATTTAGATGTCACTCCACCAGGCTTTCCACATCGCTGCACTCTTTGTAACGTCTCATCTAACAACGTAAAGGTAAGTCATTAAGGGTGTTCTATTTTTGATTTACTGGTCTGTCTTTTTTTGTTGAGTATTTGATTGAAAGCTCAGACTTGAATGAGCATTAGCTTAAAACACCTGTATCAGTCAATCCCTAGTCTTAAGCTATTTTTTAACCATTTCAAACATAAATGGTGTTTACGATGTTATGTTTTTTCATTGTATTTGTTACCCATGAAGTAGACTTGTTTTTCTCCTACAAATTCTCATGAGAACCGGTGTCATGTTATCCTTGTCTCCTCATCCTCCTGCCCTTCACTCATTGTCCTGATCAAGTCCCACTTGGAAAACCATTGCCAAACATGAAGATAACTGAAGAGAGCTACCTCAGACCTGACCACGGCACAGGATTCCTTTTCTTTGTTGTTTTTATTCTGTATGCTGATTTTAATTTAAAAAAAGACATGTTAAACAAATCTGTTCGGTGTATTTTTTTTAAAGTCTTTGAAAAAAGGTAATTTAAAAAACGGCTTACCCTCTGGAAACTTCTTAACATTTTTTGTCTCTTCTCACAACCAGGAATTGGCTTCCCATCGTAAGACCACCCTCCACCGCGAGAACTGCAAGTTACTTCAGAGAGAGTTAGTTTTTTCTTTCTCCAGATACATATACCTTTCTTATTATTAATAAATGATGAAAACACTGGTTCTCCTTATCAGGCAATTCATTGAAAGACCACATCCTTCGCTAATAGTGTATTAAGTTAATCATATTTCCAAGTTGTAGTCTGACTTTCTTTTTTCTTGAGCCAAACAGCAGTGTGTAGGAACTGCCTAGAACAGTTAGGCACCATTTTGATACAGATTATTGATGTACTCATTTTTTGAGGAGAGAGGAAACCTTCATGTTGGGATCGGACAAGCTGTATAATGGCTATATTATAGCTTGATATTTTCAAAGGCATTCGCAAGTTTAAGACCCTAAACGCATTTAAGAGTTTTACCGGAATTTTAAGACTTGGATATTTAGAAAAATATTAGACACCTGGTTTCACAAACTAATCAGCTAATTAAATCAAAACACATGCAAAGATCAGTTTAGTTCTGTAGGCTACACAATCATGGAGAAGAAAGCTGCCTTAACGGTTATCCAAAAGGCAAGCATTGCACTAGAAGGGCAAGACATTCATTGCTTAGGAGGCTGGCTGTTCAGAGGTATGTATCTATGCACATTAATGTGTGTTGTGAAGGAAAAGATGTGGTATAAAAAGGTCTACAAGCAATGGGGTTGGCTGCACCTCGCAAGGATCGTGAAGCAAGACCTATTTAGAAATGTGGGGGAGGTTCACAAAGACTGGACTACAGCTGGAGTCGGTGCTTCAAGCAAGACATGAGTTATATCTGCTGCATTCCTTGTATCGATCCGCTCTTGAACAAGAGACATCGTCCCCGTCTTTCCTGGGTTAAGACAAAAAGGACTGGACTGCTGCTGCGTCGTCCAGAGTTTTCTCCGATGAAAATACCTTTTGCATTTCCTTTGGAAAAAAAGGTTCCAAAATCTGGAAGAAGAGGGGAGAGATGGAATCCATGTTGCTTACTTTCCAGTGTAACATTTCCCCAGTCAGGGATTTTATTTTTATGCCATCTGCCGGTGTTGATCGATTGTGTTTTGAGGTCCAAGGTCACTGCAACCATCGACCAGCAAGTTTTAGAGCACCTTATCCTTCCAGCAGCCGACCAAATTTATGGAGATGTAGATTTAATTTACCAATACGTCTTGAAACCTGCACACTGTGCCAAAACTACCACGTCATATTTAGGGACCATCGTATCACTTTTCTGATTCGGTCAGAAAACTCAGCGCTTCACAGTACCCCATAGTACATCTATGGGGTACTGTGAAGAGGATGTTCTTTAGGTGCAATAATCCAGGCAAAGGGAGCCCCAACAAAGTATTAAGTGCTGTACAGACTCATACTTTTTGTTAGGTTGTTTTTTTTTTTTTTTACATAAACAACTTTTTTGTTGTTGTTAATGTTAATACTTTTTCAAAATTGGCAAAGAGTTTTGTAAATGTTTTTTCTATTTTGGTCTTAAGTAATATAAACATTTTCTAAAATACTGACTTCTGGGTTTTCATTAGTCATCAGTTGCAATCCTAAAGATTAATAGAAATAAACGTGAAATATATAAGTCTGTGTGTAACGAATGAATATAATCCAATTTTCACTTTTGGAATGAAATTATTAAAATAATTAATTCTTTCATGATATTCTTATTTTATAGCCAGTAGCTGTAAAAAGGGTTGAAAATGGCACAGAATGTAGGAGGAATTTGGTTATTAATGCAACACTCCATTAAAGGGTTTTCTTAATTGAATCAAGCTGTGCGGTTTGTTTTTGTAAACCTCTTAGGTGTTTTATGAATGCCTCTCTCTAATGCAGAAATCTTTCTGCTTGTAAACTCTGACCCATTTCATCTTAGGTAATTGTTTACATGTCTATATTACAGATATCCAGACTGGCATCACGGGAAACAAGATCAGAGGTAATTGTCTATACTATTAATTCACTATTACACTACAAGTATTGTCTGTTTTTGTTTTTCTAACTGTATTGTTTTTTTGCAATTGTAGAGTCTCGGATAAAAAATCTAGAACCCGGAGTAGGAGCCGTTCCCATTCACACGGTTCCTACCGCCGTCACAGAGACAGGTCCAGCAGCGGCTCCTGTTCTCGCTCACGCTCCCGTAGCCCACAGCGCAGTCGTACAAAGGAAAGACGCACCGAGAGCAGCTCCCGTAACCGCTCAGGCAGCCCACAGCGTAGTCGTACAAAGGAAAGACACACCGAGAGCAGCTCCCGTAACCGCTCAGGCAGCCCACAGCGTAGTCGTACAAAGGAAAGACACACCGAGAGCAGCTCCCGTAACCGCTCAGGCAGCC